TATTATTATTATTTTTTAATTTCTAATTGCTTACAAGAAAGTTTTTGTTGTGCAAAATATTTTTTTTTAATTATTTAAATTATCTATAAAACATAATTACATTCAAATGAAATTTCATAATGTTTCATAAGAAAATTTTCCCGAATTTTGCATTTGATATCTTACCATTGAATACATGATTACATTTAGTTGTTTTTAAGTTAATAATAATAATAATAATAATAATAAATAGTGTCACAAATATTGGTAATATAGAAAATGTTACTCTTCATTCAAAAGTTATCAAATAAGTAAACAAAAAATAATTCATTATTATACATCTAATTATGATTATGTCAGACAGTTTTATGAATGAAGTACTATTATAGCATTAGTGTTAAAATTTTTCTTTAAGAAATTGAAAAAAAAGTTGCAATTTTTTGAATTTAAATTTCAATTGTTACATTTCTTAAACTTTCTTTTTCTTTGATAGCTTCATTAGTCAATTCCAAGCTCTTTTTCATGAGTTACTTTTCATCTTCAAAAAAAAAAAAGTTAAAAGTAAAAGTCAACACCAATAAACTGAAAGTAAACAATACAAATGAGACAATTATGACAATAACAATAGTAACAGTAGTAATAAGAAAGATTTTAAATTTAATTTTTTGTTTTCGAATAACTGCAAAGGAAAGTTCGATTAATTAGTATGCTTTTCTATAATTAGCATCAATTATTACCTTATGATTTTAACATCTTAACTGATTGTTTGTATATCAAAATCATTTTTCCCTATATTTAAATAGGAAAAAAGATTTATTTGTCTTTGTCTTACCTACGTCATCTATTAGCAAAATCAAAAATTAATTCGCTAAAATATATAAATAACATTTCATAAAAGGAATGACTTTCGGAAAGTTGAATGCCCTACAATTTGAATGAGAAATTTCACTATTATTATTCTAAGTGAGAGAAATCATAATATGATAATAAGATAACAAAAAAAAAGAAATGAAATGATATATATATTTAACCAATAGAGCATAATATTATTTTTTAACAAATAAAGGCAAAAATGTACTAAAATTTTGTTTCTTTTTTCTGATTTAAATAAATAAAATGATTAAAAATTAATTAAATTAAAGAGAAAGTAGTTTAATAAAAATGATTTTTCGCGTTAAAAGATCTGAAAAGATTATTTGAAAAGTATGAGATACAATGAAAACTTCAAAAAAGATGAATATAATTCGTATTTAAAGTGATAAAATACAATTTTAAATTTTAAGACAACTAATAGACCATTTCTTTCTTTTTTTTTTTTTTTTTTTTGTTTTATCATTTCTGCCTTCATCTTCTCAATTTTATTTTATTTAGTGCAGATATTTAAACAATTACACATTTAAACTTCCTCTTTTCTCTTTCATTTGATGCTTTCATGAAAATTTTGTAAAAAAATCAAACATAAGATTAATTCGATATAACAACTAAATTATTGAACAATAAAATGGCATTACTATAGAAACCTTTATAACTAATTAGTATCTCTGATAATGCAATAACTGCTAAACAATCAAGCTTTTAGTAAATATATTATTAAATTTTTCAATATTGTTAAATTAATATTAATATTATTAAATTCACTCATTATTACTAGATTCAAAAAAAAAATTCTAAGTGGAAAGATAAGAAAGTAAAACTTATAGCTTTATTGCAGTATATTTTAAATTAGATCATACTTCCTTCTATTCAATTTATCATCTTCAATTTCTATTTACTTCGTTATTTCCAGAAATTTAATTAAAACAGATGTTATTATTTAAAATGTAGAAATTTAAATAAAGTTTCTCATATTTTTAATATTATAAACAAGTATTTTGCTTCAAACATACATTGTTAATAGGAATAAAATTAATTCAAATAAAAAAAACTTACTAAATTTTTATATATGAAAGAATTTTGTTTTTTGATTTTTAATAAAAATAAAATTAAACGAACTAATATAAGGAGAAATAGCAGCAAACATTTTAATTTGCTTGTAGAATGAATTTGTATATCTCTCAATATATGCATACATCACATAGTTTCATGTATTACTATAATTTAACATTTGTTTTTTCTTTTTTTTAAAGAATGCATTTTTATTTCCAACATTTATAGAAATACTTCTTTCAATTAATTTAAAAAAGAAAGGAAAGATATAATTAAAAGAAAAAAAAGAAAGATATTAATTGATGAAGAAAAAAATTTTTTTAATAATTTATTATCTAAAAGCTATAATTGAAAGAAAAAAAAATCCTTCGATAACATTTGAAGCATTGGTATTATTTTTCTATTAACACATATATTAGAAATGCAAAGTTATGTTTTATTTAGACCAAAATATCTGTTTTTTTTTGTTATAGTTGCTTCCTTTTTTTTTTTATTCTTTACCTTTTTCAAATATTTTTATTTATATTATTAAATTATAATACTGAAAAGAGGCGTTTATATTGAACGAGTATATAGGCCTTCATTCAGTATTATAATTTTATTGAAATTTTATGAAAATGATTACAATTACTGGAAACGATGAAATACTAATAAATATTATTGAAGTGGTGATAGTAGTGATAGTAATGATAATAATTATAGCAGTGTTCATTACATAACATTATATATTTTTGCAATTCAATTAAATGTTCCTCTTTCTTTAAAATGATTATTTATTGATTGATTATTACCTTTATTTTCATTTGTTTTTTTTTTCTTTTTTTTTGTATATATTTTAATTTTTTTTTTATGTATCCTTTTTTAAAATGAACAATTAATTTATGAATATATCAAACTGAAATAACAATATATTGTGATAATAGAAAAAAAAATAGCTTAATGATTGATGTTAAAAGAATTTTTTTTTTTTAATTTTAAATGGAACATAAAAAATTTTCATTTTTATGGATAAAAAAATTTTACATAAAATGATAAGTAATAATTTGGAATGTTTAATTAATCTGCTTCAAAGCCACTGATAAAATTGCTTAATCAAACATAATTCAATTTAATTTATAGTATCTTTATGAAAATATCCATGATGGTGTTGAATTCTTCTTGCTGGCGTCTTTTATTTTTATTTATTATTATTATTATTATTGAAATTATAAATATGGATTATCTGATAAATGTAAACTTATCATTTATCAATGTGCAATTGAATTGAACATCATTTTCTCTATGATATCATTTTGATGACACTTATTCATTCATTTATTCAATGACAACAAAAAAAAAAAAAAAAAGTGTAACATGACAAAAGTGCAATATGTCAACAATGAATTTGTCGTTTGCCATTTTCAAATAATATATTTTGGTGCGTCAAATAAAATTTTACTGGAAAAGGAAAATTCTTTCTCCATCACTTTTTTTTATTAATTTTTAATTAAACTTTGTACAGTGAAATATTCTCTTTTACAATGCACAAAATGAAAAGACAACAGAATAAAAAATAAATTATTCATTTCTCATTGAATTGAAATATTTTGAAATTTCAAATCAATTTCTTTCCTTTTTTTATGTAGTAATATTATAGGTAAGAATAATATATAATTTAAATTAAATTGCAAATGCATAATAAAAGAGCGTTTACTTTCTTTTTTTTTTCTTCATCATTTTGTTCTAATCATTTTAACAATAATTTACAAATTTTTCATTCGTTTGAAGTTCAACTACATTTTTTCATATCATTTATTTTATGATATTATTATTATTATTGTCATTATTATTATTATAGTAGTACTGAATTTGATGATATATATATATATATATATATATATAATTTAAAAATAAAAATATTAAAAAAGTATTTCTTTCGCTTGAAAATAAAAATACGCAGAAATGAAAAGCTAGTAGCGTTCAGTATATTTTCGATATTGACCATTCATATGTCATTTTCTTCTTTTCATCTTTATAAATCCCTCTCTCTCTCTCTCTCTCTCTCTCTCTCGTTCTTTCTCCCTCTCTCTTCCCCTTTCTCTCTTTTTTCCCTTCATTTAAACAGATGTTGTAAATAACTGCCATCCATTTTGAATATTGATTTTGAAAGAAAATGCATTCTCATGAAATGTTTCGAATGTATTCGTCGTTGTTGTAGTATATATGAAGATTTGGGTACATATATATTTTAAACTTTCCATTTTTTAAATTCTTCTAGTCTCTCTCTCTCTCTCCCTCTCTCTTTCTTGTATTTATGTAAAAAAAGAAAAACGAACGAATAAATAAATGAAAGCAAAATGTTTTCCTTTTTCTTTTTTAATCTTTTCTTTTTAATCAATCTTTGATTGTATTTTAAATTGGTAATTTCAAATTTACATATATTTTATTTTAACTTTTGCTTAACATTATACTTTTTTTTTTTTTTGATTTTAAATATTTTATATTTGGCATTATATATATTTTTTAGTATTTTATTTCAATATTTTTCATGTTTTAAATTGTTAATTTCAAACAATTTTAAATTGATTAATATAATCAATAATTTTTAATAATTCTTCACAGAAAAGAAAAAACGAGGAAAAATTTTTGAAACTTTATTCAAAATACTAGTAAGAGGAGAATATTTCAAGATTATTTGAATTAGATACAAAAATAACAAATTTTGTTTTCCTTTAATTATTAATTGAAATTTCAACTCAACAATTGTTACATCTTTATTATCCACACTAATCGTTCGCTTTCATAAATTTCTTCAATCATATCAATGAGTAATGAATGACTTAAAACCACTGCCACCGTCATCATATCACTTAGGACTATCGAATATGCTTAAAATATCTATCGTTTCCTCTCTTCTTTCATATAACAATTATAAATTTGTGTTGTTTTATTTTAAATGCTTAAAAATTGTATGATATGAATTGAATGTTGAAGAATTTTTTCCATATTATATTGTTGTTATTGTTTTTGTTGTTATTGTTTTATTGATCTTTGTGCTATTTTACAGATATGTTACATATTTCTCAATGATTTGCTTGAAAATATAATTTAAAATTATGCCAACTTTAAGTGAATTTCTTAGAAAAGCACATGGAGCATTGAATAGCTTCCGAGGTTTCTTTCATCATTTCTATCTAATTAAAATTCTGCCAAAAAATAGGGTGTAATTTTTCAGGAAAATGTATGAAAAATTAAAATTTATCAATTATTGTGATTTTGAAATTATAATATTATTCTACTAATCTATTATTGAATTACAATGCAAAAACTTAAAATTAATTAAAAACATGAATAACATTTGTGTAATATAATTTTGCATGTCAAATATATGATTTAATTCTGTGTAGAGCGAATAATTATCCCTAATTAGTGTTGTAATATTTCTAGAATATGTAAGTATTAATTATCTTCTTAAAAAATATTATCGGATATTAAATTTAAGCTGGGTAAATTGACGTCATTTAATATTTTTATCAAAACTATACGTCATTTTATTAAAAACTCAAAAATTTTTAAAATTTGATGAAATTAATAAATTTATTACAAATAAAGGAATTTTTATGATAAAAATTTATTCAACAATTTTTAGGTCTAAATAATACATTTATTGGTCAAGATGGTGATATTGTTTATTCAAAAAATAATGTTTGCATTCATGATGTTAGTAAAAGTGATCATAAGGTATTTATTTATGATAAATTTGATATATTTATATTTACAATATTTTCAATACAGTGCTAATAACTGTTGACAAATTGTAGGATACCGATGATTCCATAGAGCACATTCCTGGTTACCTAACTTTACAATGTCAAAGTGATGATATACTAGGAGTAACACTTATCTTACAATGGTTACCTAATGCAACTCTTGAAAAAAATCCGAGAAGGTAACATTTGTGATTGACTTTAAAAATTTCTTCCTTTCATAACTGAAAAATTAATATTAGCTATGCTTAATTACAGTATTCGAAGCGTATCACAAAAAAACCAAACTGTTGTTGATAAGCAAACAAAATTTCGAAATATCAATAAACAGGTTTGTCAAAAAGTATTGCTCAGATATTATTTCAATTTTATTAAGTAACATTTGAAAAAAGTTGTACAAATTTTTAAAAAACTTTTGTATTTCTTAAAAATTTGTAATAAATTTAATAGTTAAGATAATTTTATTAATTTAATAATGAATTGTTTAAAGCATATCTAAATTATAATATTTTTTGAAGTGTTACTTTTCATATTTTAAATGGAGAAAATTTTGAGCTACGAATGTATGTACAGAGTGTTAGTAATGGTAAAGATGAAGATGATGATGATGATAGCGATGATAACGATGATACTGATAATAAGAACGATGATAATGACGATGAAGATGATAATGATGATAAAACGGAGACTGATACAAATGATGAGCGTGTAAATTTTTGATACTTTTTTTTTGTTTTCCTTATCATCAATTATTTTTTGTTTTTCTCATTAAAAACTGAAAAGCATAATAAGTAATTTTTGAAATATTTAACCATTAAAAATTTTAAATTTCCTTTATTTGCTACCTGTCAATGGTTTTCATGCTCAGTTTCATTTTTTTGTTTTAAAAAAGAAACTAAATTGATTGAAACAATTTTTAAGAGAAGCAATTTTATGATCTATTTTGTTCTAGAGTCCAACAAGTGAAAATGATATTAACGTTGAAATGAATGGTGATATGATAACAGTAACTTCTATGAAACGAAGGCCAGATTTATTCATGTCATCGGTATTTTCTAAATTTGTAAATTTTAACTTTTCAAAAACACTCGAAATATACTGACACAATGATGTCATCGTTCTCAACTGAAGTTTCATTATTTTATGCATTCTTCATTAGCCTTTTCCATAATTATAGGGGAAAGAAATTTGGATATACTTTCGTTCATTCATCAATAATTTATTTTCTCCATTTTCATACTAATTTTTTATTTTCTTAGACTTAGGACAAAAAAAAAAGGCGAATTAGCAATTTAGTGGTTTCTGAATCAATTTTCATATCTATTTTTTTGTCGAAAAAAAAATGTCATATATTGAATGCTTTCAAAATCGATAAACTGTTGATCATATTCTGTAATAAATTTTTTTTTATCATTTAATTCTATTTTCCAATTTTTTTTTTTTTTTTGATTTCATTTTATTAACTTTCCAACTTTTGCTTAATGATTGATCTATCGTATAAATAAGAAATTTCTCAATTTGCTTCCATTTAATAACATGAAAAGTATGATATAAATTCTATCGAATAATTTTGTACATAATCAATTTTCTTGTTCTTAATAAAATTTATTGCTAAAAATAACTCATCATTTATTTTTTTTCTTCTCAAACTATTTCTAAAATTGTTCTTTTTTTTTTTTCATTTAATATTTTTTTTTTCTTTTTCTGAAACATTTCATGAATTAAGGAAAATTCGGAAAATTTAAATGTTCCAACAATCAATGTGATACCAAATACACCGGTTGATTCTTCTTCAATTGATGAAAAGGTGAGCAAATAAAGTATACACATATTAGTATTTAAGACAATAGCAATTTATTCTCGAGATTTCTAAATTACACATTCCTTTTCTTTTTTTTTTCTTTATTAATAATAATTTATCCAATCTCCAATGTTATTGTTGTTTAGTTCTCTAATTTAGTTCTACATCATTTTTCTTATCAGGAAAGAACTTGAACTGCTCTATTATTTGCTATTTTATGAATATTTTGTTGATTAAATTTTAGTTAGATCACAATTTTCAATCAAAATTTAAGTAAAAATTTTCTAGGACACAGACAGCAGTTCAGCAACAACATCTGGTGCTGATGAATTTTCCGATAGGGTATGCTACTAATAATAGTGGCTAAGATTACTGAAAATTACATCTATTTTTCATTATTTAAATTACATCTATTTTTTCATATTTAAGAAAATTTTGAAGATAACAATTTTTTTTCTTTTTTTGAAAATTTCGAAATGTCAATTACGAAAGTAAAAAGTAGAAAATTTTTCACAATTTAATTTATAAGTAGTATTAGTGTTTTTTCAAAAATTTCCTACATATTAAAAGTTTATGTAAATTTAGGATGAAGAATTCATTCACGGCAGTTCATCATCCGATGATTTTGAATTTCAAAATGTAAATCAATGTCGAAAGGAATCAAGTCCAAAAAGTAGTAACATGCTAATTGAAAAATGTTCAATTTATCATACTTTACTTTTTCTTTAATCCATTTTTTTCCAAAGTTTATTTTCTCAATAATATCTGTTCAACATTTTGCAGCATTGCATTTAAATATGCTACAGCAATATCGTAATAAATGTGAACATTTATGCAAAATAACACCGGAACAATTTGCAATAACGCATAATTTGATGTTGAAAAATGATAGCCAATTTGATGATAATGGAACTGTATCAGTTAATGGTAGAAGTGTAATTTTTCATCAGAAGACACTGTCTGCTTCACTTTTCTCTGTTAATTTAGGTATAATAATTGAATAAAATAATATTTGAATATCATTAGAATTAACTAACTATATGCAGTTAAAATTTTTAGATTAAACGAATTTAAGACAAACTAATAAATGCATTTTCTTTTTTTTTTTTTTTTTTAGGTAAAATGAATTTGAAATAAACTATTAAATGCAATTACTATTTTGTTAGGTAAAACAACTTTAATATAAGCTAGAGAAATAATAAATATGATACAAAATTTTTAGGTAAAATGAGATCAATGCGATTGTTTTTCACAGCAGATGATTTAACTTCTGGACAATTTGTTATTGCTACATGGGATTCACATTACAAAATTTTACATTTCCATCATGGCGGATTGGATAAATTAGCGCAATTACTAGAACAGTGGAGTGTTATTAAAACAAAAGCTGTTAAAGATGTAAATTTCTTGATTTTACACTAAGTTGTAAGAAAAAAAAAATTACTAAAAAAAAAAGTTTGTAGTAAAAGTTTTAAATATTTTTTAAAAATTGGTTGAAAATGAGAAAAAGTACTGAAAAAAATAATTGCATAATTTAGTTTTTTTCATCAATAATTTTCTAACTTTGAAATAGTTAAAAAGCGCAATGTGTATTTCATTGAAGAAAATTCTGTTCAAGCAAAAAAGATGGATTCAAATGTCTTATTACTTAGGGTTCACCATCACCGATTCCGGATCGTCAGTTTTTGGTATGTCAACCAAAAGTAAGTAAAATGGAACTTGATCCAGAAGAAGATTTATATGAACGAGTTAGCTGGGATTTCTGGAAATCATACAAAAATCAAGATGGTAGCATCGATGATAATTTCACCATGAGAAAGGTTGTAATAGGTTTTTTTTTTTTTTTTGTCTTTTTATTTTTTCTTTTTTTAATATTTTTTATTTCTAAAAAATTGGAGATTATAAGCTGAGTATGATTTTTAGGCCATTTATTTTGCCACCATAGATCCTACACTTCGTAGAGAAATTTGGCCATTTTTATTACGTGTATATCCGTGGGCTTCAACGGTCGAACAACGTGAAATTATACGAAATGATATCTTCATTGAATATCAAAAGATAAAAAAGCAAAGGTAAAAATTTCAACTTTTAGAAGTTTAGAAATATTTTTTTTTAATTAAGTTTAAAAGGAAAAAATTTTGATATATGATGCAGGATAAATTCTTGTAAAAGATCAAAAATCGCATCCGAAATATTTTTGTTTTAAATTTTTAAATGTAAATTTGTTTTAAAGTAAAAAATCTAAGGTTATGAGTGGAAAAATTTACAAATATAATTTTGAAAAACTTAATTTGTAAAATGTAAAACGAATGAAAAGATAACATTTCTTAAACTTATAATTTTTATATGATAATTATTTGCTAATGATTAACTCATTAAAGTTTTTCTAGAATGAAAAATGCACTGAAAACATCATGGACTAATATAGAAAATGCTATAATTAAAGATGTTATTCGTACAGATCGTTGTAAACCATATTTTGCCGGTGATAATAATCCAAATATTGATACAATGAAGTAAGGATTGATTACAATTATAAATATAATCTTTATAATTTTGCATTCATTCATACAAAAAACTTTATCATTTAAAATTTATAATTATTGAACATTTTTTTTTTTTCAGGAATATTTTATTAAATTATGCATTTGCATATCCTGAAATCAGTTACATACAGGGTATGTCAGATTTATTAGCACCTCTTTTGAGTACCATTCATGATGAATCTGATACATATTGGTGTTTTGTTGGACTTATGCAGCAGCAAACATTATTTGTATGTACTCCAATTGATGGAAGAAATCTTATGGAAATTAATTTAGTAAGATGCTAAAAAATTTTTGCAATCAATAGTTAAATATTTGCAATGATTTATAGCATTGTAAATAAAAGTATAATTTCCTAGGTTTTTTAAAAATAATAATAATGTTTCCTAATTGAGTATTATTTTATTTTATTACTGTAAAATCCATTTGTTAAAGTAATAAATTCTAACTTTTTTTTTTGATAATTCAATATTTTTTGCCGATTCTTTGCAGAGTATCCACAACATTACATATACCGTACAATTAATTAATGCAAATAATAATTTTCAAATATAATTAATTATGATGAGCTCTTTTTTTTTCCCTCTCTCTCCCTCTGCCTCTCTCTCTCTCATAATATAATTTATTTTGCAGAATTATTTACGCGAATTATTGAAATTATTTGTACCAGATTTTTTTATGCATATTGCTAGTTTAGGTTCAGATGCATTGGAATTAATGTTTGTTCATCGATGGATACTATTATGTTATAAGGTTTAATTTATATATTTTTTAATAAATTTTTTATTTATTTATTATTAATTAATTGATAATATAATATATTAATTAACTGATTAACTAGCTAATTCAATTATTTGCAGCGTGAATTTCCTGAAACTATTACGATGCATATTTGGGAAGCATGCTGGTCTCATTATCGAACATCATATTTTCATTTATTCATTGCAGTTGCTATCATTTCCATATATGGAAAAGATGTTATTGAGCAATGTCTTCCAAATGATGAAATTTTATTATATTTCAGTTCACTTGCTATGCATTTAGATGGTACTATTATCTTAAAAAAAGTAAAATATTTTCTTTTTTTTTTTTTTTTTTTTTTTTTTTTGATGAAAAATTTTGAAATAAAATGAGATATTCATTTGTGTTGTAAATGTAATTTAATAATTTTCTCATTAAATAATAATTATTACAACTCATTGTAATTTAAATGAATGAATGAATTATTTTTTATTTGAAATTTAAAATTGAAAAAAAAGTCGAAATTGAAACAAAGAAAAAAAAAGAACAATGTTATTGAAAAAAAAAAAAAAAATTTTCCACACATAAAACATTCTTCCCTCTTTTTCTTTTTTCGTTTTTTTTTTTTAAATTATACATTAGCATAAATTAAATTATAATTTATTTCATACTATTATAACTAATTATTTTTGCAATATGTAATTTAATGATAAAATTTCTACATATTATTCATCTATACATGCATATTTTATGTAAGATGGAAAAAGAAAAAAAAATAATTGTTATAAATTTTTATTAATTTTAGGCTCGTGGTTTACTTTATCAATTTCATCATCTAGATAAGTTACCGTGTACATTAGCCGATCTTTGTGAAACAGATACAGAGCAATGGGATACAAATATTCAACAGAGAGTTTATGAATGCACTAAAATTCATGGTGAAAAAGAGCCATGTCCATTTGCGAGAATTTAATTGAAATTTTGTCTTTTATATTTGCTTCTTTTTTTTTTCCTCTATTATAATTTTTAATGATCAATGAAACATTTCTCTTTTTTAGTTTTTTGATTAAAACTCAATTTTCATTTATTCTCTCTCATTCATTCCTTTTTTCTCTTATGCATCATCTTTTCTTATGTTTATTTATTTCATTCATTTTGATTACTTTGTTTACACTTTTTGTTCTTTTTCTTTATTTTTTACTACAACTTTTTTTTTTTTTTTTTTTTTTTTTTACCATTATTTATTATAATATCTTAAAATATGCATAATAATTTTTTTGTTGATGAAAATGTTAAAAAGCTATCTTCAAATTTAAAATTGAATTATTTCTCTGTACCCTTTTGCTAATTGACAACATAAATGCTTTTATTAATAATACTGAATAGGAATTTTTGCACAAATTTCTCTGCTTTATTTCATTATTTGATTAATATATTACGTAATAATAATAATAATAACAACAAAAAAGAAAATTTATATTATTATCATAATTTTTCTTTAATACTGAAAATACGATATTAGTACTTACAGATGATGACGATATTATTTGATCAATTTAAATAGCAATTTTTTTTTTCTTCTTTCTTTTAGGACTTTTCTTTTTCTTCTATTCAGTCATCATCATATACTTACTTATTCGTCATCTTTTTCCTTCTCATTTCAATTCGTTTAATTCAATTTTCGTTTGAAGATGTATGTTTTTTTTTTTCTCCTTTTTTTTTTCCTTTATTTTTTCCATTTGTTGTCTGCAAAATTTAATAAATAACTTACTTATACCTGTGTCACCACATTTTTTCTTTTCTTTGAAGTTCCCACTGAAAAATAATGGGAATTTTTAGCAGTAAAAAGAGAAAAAAAAAAAAAACGATTAGATAGGAAATCGAAAAGATTTGCTGAAATATTTTAGATCTTTTTTTTTTGCTTTTCTTTTTTGTGGGTCAATAGGATTATCATTCCTAAAATAGAGTCTTGAAAGTATGATAAGGTTTTTTTTTATCAGTTTTGAATTATTTAAGTAGTCAGTTTCCATAAAATTATGAAGATTTTCGATGAAAAAAAAAAGAGAAGGAAAACTATTTTATAATTAATTTGGGTAATTTTAAGATGAAACCCAATTGTGGTAAATAAAAATGGTTTTCAGTCGTGTTTACTAAATTTAAATGACGGATGTGATGTAATTTTCTCTTTTCTTCTTTTCTTTTTCTTTTTTTTTAAAAAAGAAAAAAATGAAAAGAAAAAAAATTTAAATGGATATTGCCGGATAACAGCTTTTGCTGCACTCGATGACAAATAATTTATTCATCACCGTATCCTTTTCCTTTCAATCCTTTTTTTTTTTTTGGTGAATTTCTAGAAAATAAATTTTGCAACATCAACGATGTCAAATTGGCTTTTTAAATCAGATCGCTTCTACAACATTTTCATTTTCTTTCTTTTTGTTTTGTAGTACAATCAAGAATGAAATGTAACTATTGTTCGATAAATAGGCTATTATTAATCGTAACATTCTTGCACTAAATTATTTAAAATATGAATTTATTTTCATCATTTGATTTGAAAACAAAGATTTCAATATTAATAGAAATAAATTCATCAATTTAATGCTCATTTGTTTTATAATTTTTAAAAATGCATCTTGGAAAATGCTCTTTTGCGAAAAAAGAGTACAAATAAATTTAATCATTTTTTAGATTTGATTTTTTTTTTTTTTTTTTTGATCTTTTCACTCAGATTTTAATGGTTGGAAATCCTCTAAAACAATATCAGATGGTTGAGATTTTTAAAAGACGCTAGACATCACTGTAAACGAATATGGCCAAAATAATCTTTAACTTTTAAAGCTGGCTGAATAATTAAACAATGTCATGATTTCATCTTTAACAGAAATTATTATTTCACTTTTTTTTCCTTTTTATGTCCCAGAATTTTAATATATAAAACATATGGAAATTCGTTTCACCCAATATTATATTCTAATTAATGATTTCTCGAAATTTTAGAATTACAGAACCAAATATAAACATTTTTTAGGAAAAAACCCAAGGAATTTATATGATTCTTATTTAAAGAATACTTCCAATAAATTGAAGTTTATTCATAATAACAAGTCTAACACCATGACCCAAATAAACTTTTCAGATAATAGTATAAATATATTATCTTTAAGGTTGGAATTTATAACATTTGGTATCTTTACCTGTCTCAAACCTTTTTAAGCCATCAAATTTAACTATTAATGTTGAATGATCATCATTTGATACAATAATTCCAATATTTCGCATATTAATTTTGTGTAAATATGCATGTTATTATTAATTGTCATTAATTTGCTTCATATTCAACAATTTTCACTATTTTAATAATAATGATAGTGCGATAATATTTAAAACAGAAGAAAAAACAAGGAAACAAACAGGTAAGAATGATAAGCAATTATAAAAAAGGTAAGAATGATGATAAGGAATGCAACATTGAGAAAAAATGAGAAACAAAAATAAAGCGCAAAAAAGATGAAATCACTGATCATCATTTTAATCTGCTAATAATGTAATTATTGTTCATTAATTTGTTTCCTGTAAATTTTCTCAATTTCATTAATAATAATAACATTAATAATAATAATAATAATAATAATAATAATAATAATAATAATAATAATAATAGTAGTAATAATGAAGATTTTCTAGCAATAATAAATAATATACTTCTGCAATCAATAAGCAATTTTTCGAAGCAATCATTTTCAAGCTGCACTCAAAAAAAAAAAAAAAATGAAAAGAAAAAAAAATCCGGAAAATTGTATTTAAAAGTAAATAAAATGTATTTCCCAAGGGCTGAGAATATCGACCTACAAAATTAATAAATCTAACATTTTCCATTGAATCGTGCTAACTATTTATTTTGCACACAATAAAATTTGAAATTTTCGCAAGTAATTTTGTGCATTCATTCTTTTCGATTTTATAGTCTTTCTACTTTTTGATTGAATTGATGACTCATTTCTTGCAATTTTAATTTTTCTGCATGCATAAAACTGCAAAAACATATTCATTGTTGGTAAATAATTACATAAAGCTATATTGCATGATAGATCAACTTGATTATCTGATAATTATTTGTAAATTTCTTATTTGTTTGATGATTGTGTGGTTTCTTTTTTTAAATTGTTTTTTTTTTGAATTGTAAATAAATGAACAAAAAAAAAGTAACTGATTTCCTCTTTTTGCCAAGTTAACTAGGAATAACTCTTTTTTTTTTTATTTTCATTTTTACCTTTTAGTTTGTTTGTATGTTTTTACTTGAAGAGGTAGACGCAGCTGTCATTTTAGATTACCTGACAGCTAACCAAAAATTATTTCAAAATGCTTGAAAACACCGTAATTCTTTAATCGTCTTTTTTTTTCATTTTTTTTCTTTAACATACTAAATTATTTGCCATTGAATTGATCGAATTAATTGGCTATGATAATTTGAAAATGTTGAATACTGTAGACAAATTTTCTAATTAATTCTTCTTTTCAAGAAAAAAAAAAAGAAAAAACGAGGAATCAATGTGTTTTAAAATTATGAATTCCTGTAATTATATTAATTTGTTAATTTCTTTGTATCATTTTGCTTATTTATCATTTAAATGTTTAACAAATGATCATTAGACATATTAATAAAAAAAGAAATAAACAAGTAATAAACAAGAATTAAATTTACGATAAACATTTATTTTATCCTCCTATTTTTGCTTCCCTAAAAATATACCAAAAAATGCAATATCTGGTTTATGAATTGAACTAAAAAAACTAAGTGAAAAATTTTTTTCCTTTGTTCATTTGCTGGAAACAGCCATATATATATTTTTTTCATAGCTTGACATCTTAAAGAAATCAGGTGTCAATCAGTATTTGAGCATTGTCATTCAATATCTCTAAAATGACAATAAAAACGATGATATGAAAAATGAGGTATTCATGTGGAAAAAAAAAAGAAAAAGGAAAGACGAAAAAGCAAACTGAAAAATGTTTAGGTAAAAAATTAAGCACAATGGCTAAGAGAAAATTAGATGAAGGATAAAAAAAAGAAAGTATTTAATGAATTAACATTTTCTTTTGCATATCAATTTTTGATTGATTTATCAGTTTAAAACTTTAAGTTGTGAAAAGAAAAAAGAAAAGAGAAAGAGTTTTTCTGACATTAGAATTATTATAAATGATTTTAAAGCTATTAAAGAGAGAAAAAAGAAAAACAGGTATGCATAAAATAAATTACTATTATTGAATTATCTAAAAGCAGCTATTACTATTATTGAATTATCTAAAAGCAGCTATTCAATTTATTCATGTTATTGAGGAGAATAAGCCTAGGAAAAGCTAAGGTAGCTAATTAATTGACTCTATAACTTTCTTATTTCAACGTAAGTTTTTTTTTTTTTTCGCTTTTAGTTTTGAATTTCATCATTTGTTAGATATTATAAATTTGAACTATCAAAATATTTCATAATTTGTTACCCCATTAATTTAACTGGAAAATGTGTCATAATTTTGTTTCAGTCATTTCTCAAATGAAATACGATGAAAAAAAAAAAAATGAGAGAAATATAGAGAAAAAAATTTTTAAAAGACAAAAAACAAAAAAAATGAAGTTAAAAAATATAATAAGGGATAACAAAAAAATAAATTTAAAAGAAATAATAAATAAATAAACAAAAAATTGTTTTAATGGTTATTTATTTTCTCTCACACATAACCAAAAATTTTAAGTTATAAAATACAAATTTGATCAAAGTCTTTTTTTTTTTCATATCTCATCTTTTTTTTTCTTTTCTTTTTTTTGCAACAATCATTAATAATTAATAATAGATTTTTTCGTCCTTTTTTTCTCAAAAATTTGCAATAGAAAATTAAATAAATTCAAAGTAAAAAAATAAAATAAAGAAGTGATCTGTTTTGAAAATTTTTTCATGTTGATATTATTATCTGTAA